AGATCAAGGCCCCTGCGGTGAGGGAGGGAGTGGGGCTGGGGACAGGATGGAGCCACGAGCAGCTCATCATAGGGGAGTGTGGCTCCTGCCACTGCACATCTCCAGGGCAACCATGGACTACCACCCACCCTGAGCAGAGCCCTGGCCAAGCCCCCCTGCCGGGAAGAGCCCCCCACCCCGGTCCCAGCTCACAGTGGCAGCCTGCCCTTGCCCTGTTCAGATTCAGGGGTTACATGCCCTCCATAGCTCCCCCAGGGGTGCGTGCAGCAATGGGAGCTGCCTCTTCTCCCAACTCCACCCCCTGCCTGTGTCCCCAGATGAGCTGCTCATGACTCTGTCCCAGCCCCCCACTTCCCTCACCACAGGGGCCTCGATCACCTCCCCACCCTAACAGACTTACCAGCTGAGCGCTGCTCTGCAAGCTGCTGGGCTGGCCACGTGCATACTGCAGATGTGCATGCACGTGACATTTATCGGTGACATTTATCAGCCACATAAGCTGAAAAAGCCAGTTGCTGACTTTAATGTCAGTTTGTCTTCTATCAGTGCTGATTCGATATGAACCAATGTATTGGTGCACCTCCACCTGTAATTGTAATGTATGGAGGAGCAGCTGATTGTTTTGGGTGGATTGGTAAAGTATTTTAGTTTTCATGAAGTTGACGACGAGTTCAAGCATTCTATGTGCTTCACAGAAGCAGTCAAGAGTGATCTGGAGCTCTTTAGTTGGGTGGGCACACATGACACATGATATATTGAAAATCAGTAATGGAGGTGTTAGTTATCTAGGATTTGGAATGTAAATGGTTGATGTTACAAGTTGGCAGGATTTGATTTTTATCAATAGACATCGATTTCACCTGGCTTACAAACCAACAGAAAAATATTTCTACTAGTAATCATTGAAATTTACATAAAGGAGACGAACAAAGAAAATCTGTAGGGAACACGATATGCACGTGCACACATCTCCACTCCAGGAGCTTGGGGTCATGTCGGTAAGGCTGTGCTGAGGTGGGGTTTAGCAGCAGGGAGCTTGGTGCTGCCAGCCATTCACTCTGCCCAGGTCCCAGCCGGGCCAGGGGCCAAATTCCTGTGGAGCCTGCCCCAACACCTGCATGATCAGGGCAGGAGCCCAACTCCCGTAGTGGCCTAGCTGGGCTGGGCTGTGTAGGAGTTTGGCCCCTGCTCCGTCTGGGATTTAGGAAGAGCGAGTGGCCAGTGGCACCAAGCTCCTGGACACTACCATCCAACATCCCCTACTCCTGGCACAGCCCCCAACTCCTGCAGAGTGAGTGAGTGAGTGAGTGAGTGAGTGAGTGAGTGAGTGAGTGAGTGAGTGAGTGAGTGAGTGAGTGAGTGAGTGAGTGAGTGAGTGAGTGAGTGAGTGAGTGAGTGAGTGAGTGAGTGAGTGAGTGAGTGAGTGAGTGAGTGAGTGAGTGAGTGAGTGAGTGAGTGAGTGAGTGAGTGAGTGAGTGAGTGAGTGAGTGAGTGAGAGAGAGTGTGTGTGTGTGTGTGTGTACGTGCTAAATCAATAAAAAATCGAAAATCACTCATAATGTCGTACAGTCCTGAAAATGTCAATTGGTAAAAATCCAAATAAATGCTTAAAAGTAAACATTGATTTTACCCATTGGAATTTAAAATAAAAATTAAATTCTGCCAAGTCAGTTGTACTGACTCCAGATGGAAGTCTGTCAGTAATGAGATGTGAAGTAGCTGTGATATAAATGGAAACGGGAGTTGGTGCAATCATGCAACCTTGGTTGACTCCAGTGAAGGGGTCCATTTCCCAGCCATTACTTAAGATAGCTACTGTACTGTCATCATGGCAGTCTAATAATAGTAACAAATTCTGGCAGTCATCCAGATCTCTTCAGAGTGTTCCACAAGGTCTCTCTGTTGACTGAATCAAAGACCTGAGGTCAGTGAAGGCCAAGTGAAGATCCTGGTGTAGCTCAGGGCACTTTCCCTGCAGCTGTCTAACAAAAAAGATTGCATCTATTTTACCTGAGTAGTCTGAAAAGGCATTGGGACTCGGGTAGAATCTTCTCAGTGAGGAAAATGAAGGCAAAGATCTTCCCAGCTACAGACAAGGAGTACAATACTGCAATAATTGCTGCCATCTGATGTCTCCTTTCTTGAGTGTGCTAATAATTCTGGCATCCCTCAAGTCACTGGGAATCTGTTCATGTTTCCAGATTTTCGTAAGACTCGGGTATAGTTGGTGAGAGAGCTTTTTTCCACCTTTATAACTTTCACCTGGTATTCCATAAGAACCACATGCTTTGTTGTTCTTCATCTGCTTAATGGCTTTCAAAGCTTCTTGATAAATTAGGAAGGCTTAATGGGGTGTGTTGTGGAATGGCTTTAGTGGTTTCATTTTCAACACTAGAATCCTGGTTCAGGAGCTCTTCAGTGTGCTCCTTCCACTGTGTTGATGGCAGAGCTGTCTTAAAAGAGTGTTGTTCCAACTTTGGACCTCAGAAGGGATGGCTTCTTGTGTGGCAAGAATCATCTCATCTTTGGGAACAGATAAGAGGACTCAGTTGAGTTTAAAATAGAATTCTTTTGTTTTGTCATCTGCATTCGGTCAGGGCATATGCACCGATGACTTGCATGTATCTGCTGGTACTCTGTGACCGTCAAAGCTATTACTTTTTAATATATAAGTATAACTACTTCCTTTTCTACTCTCCATACTAATATGTCCCTAATTAGGCTACTCATAAAATCAGTGGATGTTAACAGATGCAAGCAACCTCATTTTTTAAAACATTCTCAGAGATTTTTTTATGATTTCCTCCCAGCAGTTGTAGTTCTGCTCTTAAGCCCATTAGTCTAAAATAGTAGTCAGTTCTGATGCAGTAATAGGTTCCCTAATATGAATGTATCAGCTCTTTGACTGCAGGGGGGGTTTTTTTATATAACGTGGGCTGAACTGTATGTCAAAAAATACTGGTCTTGAACTACTCACATTTTTCATATGATTTAGGCACCTACCGAATTTGCAATTTCATGACTTCCGTGAAATCCACAAAATCTGCAGGGGCGGGGGGGCCTTACCAAGTACTCACAAGGGCAGAGGGCTGCCAGCAAGGTGGCTGCCACTCCTGCCTCTTGCCATTGATTGGCTGCAAGGGCTGTTTGTCACATGACCCTGCCCCCCACCAGTCAGCAGTGAAAGGTGAAGCTGCATGACAACAGCCCTCACAGACAATTAGCAGTCAGGGGTGAGGCCACCGGGGTCCCCTGGCCTATCAGAGGTATGGGCCTGCCATGCTCCACCTGCGAAATGGCTGCCTGTGAAATCGGGGTGCAGCCACCAAGCATTAGGTGGTCCCTACAAATGATTGTGGCAGTACAGGCAGTCTTTATCCTGTTGTTTGAGCAGATACCTGCGCTAACTTTCAGTGACAATAACTACATCTTTTTTTTTTTTCTTTAAAGCAAAATCAACCTGCAATAGTTAAACGGAAAAGAGGACGGCCTCGTAAATACCCTCTTGAAGCAGTACAGCCAGGTAGTGAATACTAGGGGAAACTCTGATGGAAAAACATGGCAATGTTAACAGTGACGTTCTGAGTTGTTTTCTATTCTTTCAGATGCAAATTTAAAAGTTGATAAAAGCATTGGGAATGTAAGTATCATATTTTATTTGGAAAAGCACATTTGTACTGACCGTTTAAAAAAAATATATTTTCCTGGGTAACATTTTAGAGTCTGAGTGGCCCTGTGCAGCATGGAGCAAAAACTAATAAACTAGAAAATTAGGCTGTTGAAGCCTAAAAACACTGTCTGGAGAATCTTTCAATATAGTAATCAAATGGGTAAGAAACAAAGCATTCTAAATGCTAAGAACTAAACAACAGTGTCCAGCACTCTAATAATGCTATATTCAGTTCATCACATTAGAGATAAATTCGAAGGTTGAGGCTACCATGAAAATGTCAGACATTCTCTAGGTACGTTTGTACACAGATTTAAAGTGTGTGTATGCACACATGCGCTCTCAGAATTTACTGTGGTCTAATAATTAAACATGAAGTAAAGTGACTGAGACCAGTTTTCTCTGCCAGCCTTCCTGACCCACTTGTTCCCAACAACATGCATGCTTCAAATGGAGCTTTAGACCCCTTAGTTTGAGCTTTCAACTTGAGTAATGATGACTTTTTTTTTTTTTTAAATTACTGTAGCTATAGCAGATTATAATTCCGCACAGCTTTTTTTCCATCAAAAGTAAATACTGTATTGTGGTTGTGGTAATGTTGTGCATGTCCATTTTTAAAAGTCATGTGGAATTACAGCACTTTACATTTTTTTTTTTATGGCCTTAGATCAGTGGATCACAGAGCCTCTTGCAGTTGATCTGAGGCTGGGGGGGGGGGCTAAGCGCATGTGTGCATGTGTGTGCACACCACCCCCCAGCCCAGCAGGTCAGTCCACCAGGGAGGGAAAGGGCAGGGGCCAGATCAAAGCCCCTGCAGTGAGGGACAGGGTGCAGCAGAGGCAGAAACAGAGGTAAAATGAGTAGGGTCCTGGCTGGGCAGGTGGTGGGAGGACCAAGCCCAGGTAGCTCAAGCAGGCAGCTGCCATTGCGGGCTCGCCTTTATGCCCCGGTCCCTACTGCAGCTGGCTCGGGATCAGCCCCATGCCATGCGTGCCTGCTGCTGGGTGGGCAGGGGATGAGGCTTAGCTCAGTGGCAGGTGCACATGGCATTGGGCCACTCCTGGGGCAGCTACAACGGGGCTCAGGGCTCAAAGCCTAGTCCGCGATGGCAGCTGCCTCCACCAAGCACAGATGCAGGGCAGTGTTGGGGGACTGGGGCCTCTCTTCCCCGCAGCAGTGTTGGGCCAGGCTGTGCCTGAGCCAGGGGTGGCACTGGGAGCAGGGAGGGGGGCTGCAGGCACCCCAAAATTTGCCGTAGCACCCCTGACCCCCCCCACCAAGTGCTGCTGCCACCCGCCCCGAGTGCAACATGGCCCAACCTTCCTACCGGAAGGAGCCTGCCTTCCACCC